TGATGATGCTGATGATGGTTTTGGTGGTGGTGATGGTGATGTCCGTGGTGATAATGATGCTGCTGCTGCTGCTGCTTCTGCTGCTGCTGCTGCTGCTGCTGCTGATGATGATGATGATGATGATGATGATGATGATGATGATACTTTGTATGTGGCTGTGTGTGTGTCGCCAGGCCAAGGGGAACAGCGTTCGAATCACGTGTGAAACGAACACGGCCCTGGTGGCCTGGGATGCACAAGGCTCCGGGAGGCTTGTGGGCTCAGTGCACGGCCACGACCGGCCAGCACGGCCAACAAGGCCAGGGGCCCTCGTGGCCACGGGAGGCCAGAAGGGCACAGCGAGCGGCCCCCAGACTGCCAGACCAGGCACCAGGAAGCCCAGTCGGGCCGACCCCAGAGAGAGCTCACCCTCAAGGTTCCCAGGGGAAGAGACCAGCGATCCCCAACCCCGAGCCTCCCCCAAGGCCCTGCCTGAGGCCAGGTGGAGCCCCTGGACGAGCCGATCGCGCCTCCGGGCACGCTCCTTGCCAGCTGGCGTGCTGCAGATGTGGCGGGCGGGGAGCAGGCTCCGCACCGCCGGCCAGAGATACACGGGGGCCGCGCAGGGACCTCGAGCCCTTGCCGGTGCATGACCTCCTCCGCCCGCCCCCCCCACGAGCACCCGCTCCCCCTCCCACGGAAGGCGGCGCGCGGGAGTCCTCGCCCGGCTCCGTCTCGGCTTCCACCGCCGCCGCAGCGTCCGTGACGGCAGTGGCGGGGCCAGTCCCCGCGTCGGCGCGAGGGGGGGGCGAGCGTGGGGCGGGGGCCACCCGCTCCTCGTCGCCAGCTCTGCCGCGGGACTCCCCTCCCGAGGCCGCCTCCAAGAGGCGATGGGCAATCGACGCCTCGCTCGCACCATCCCGAGCTTCACGCTCGGCAGGCCCCGCAGGCCACGGCCCCCGAGGAAGGGGGCCCAGGGGTCAGGAGGAGGAGGAGGAGGAGGAGGAGGAGGAGGAGGAGGAGGAGGAGGAGCCGAGAGCAGCTGCAGCGCAGCCGGCAGGGGAGTCGGCGGCCAACGGCGACAGCTGGTCGTGGGCACTCTGCCCGTCTCCCCCAGAGGCAGGCTGCGTCGCCCGACCTTCCATGTGCTTCCTGAGACGGCTCTTCGGGCGTTTGCCACTCGGGCGGGGTCGTGGCGGGGGGGAGGGCCATCTCGCGCACGGACTCGCTGCGATCGACTGCCCCCTATGATAGGGGGCAGTCGATCGCCGCGAACTCTGTTCCCACGCCGCTACGAGAACGGAAACAAAACGGCAGCAAAAAACAATAAAACACGGATCGCAAAACGCACCGACAACGGCGAGACGGCAATCCCAAAACGGACAAAAAACGGAGCCCAAAACAGAAAAAAAACGTCGATCTTGAAAACGGTAAAAAAAACGCCCCCAGCGTTTTAAGAACATCTAAACACCTATCCGACTTGCGTCCTCCCACCATGGTTCTCCTCACCCTCTCGTGCCGACGGAGCAGGGGCCGTGGCGGCAACAAGGGCCGTGGCGACGGCCGCCAAGGAGGGAGGAGGTGCCGGGCTGATTCTAGCCGCGTGGAGGGCCGAACGGGCACGAAGCTTGCTCAGCACGGCGTTTACACAAGGCAGAGAGCCCAGGGCTCGCCTGGTCTCGGGTGCGCAGGCGGCTCGGTTGCAGGCCAGACGTCGCCCTCGAGCTACAGGCACGGCCTCTCAGGAGTAGGGACAGGCAGCTGGCGGGGGGGCCTCTTGTTTGTCAACGGCCTGGGCGCACGAGCTTTCTCCTCCACGGGGCACCAGCAGGGCCAGCCAGCCAGACACCACCTTCCCCGCCCGGGCAACCAACCTGGCAACAGCAGCAGCGTCGACGAGGCGCAGTGGGATGCCCCCATGGAACCTCTCGGGCGGGCTGACAACGTGGAGGGCAAGCGAAGCAAAGAAAGCAGCCCAGTCGTTTCCGAGCCGCTCCTCCTCCTCCTCCTCCTCCTCCTCCTCCTCCTCCTCCTCTATCCCTCGGGCCGTCGCCTCTTCGGTTTCTTGTTGGAGAGACGGGGTCCACTCGCAGCGAGGCGGGGGGTTTGGCCTCGCCGCTCTGCCTCGGCCCATGGTGGCTCGCCAGGTCTCGGCGAGGTGGGCCGCGGCCGCAACCTCCCGCACGAGAGAAAGGCGATCAGACGCGATCCGAATTACCAGCGCAGGCGCCTCAATTGCCTGGAAGCTCGCATGCCTAGCAGCTCGGGGCACAGACTGGATCCCCAGGGACCGCACTTGGGCCGAGGCGGACAACCGGCATCGCGCGTTCATCTCAATGGGGGTCTTCAACGTGGCCAGCCGCCCGCCCAGTATCCTCTAGCAGCCGCGAACGCAGCGCGCCCGCCTCGCGCTGGACAACGGCGCCCGCCAGCAGCAACCGTTTTGGAAGACCCTCTTCGACGCGATGCTGGCCATCGAGGCTGACCTGCCAACCCGATACAACAAGTCCGATTCCACAGCCTCGGCCATAGAGCGCGTCTTCATCAGCTGGCCGTCGCATGCCATGCAGGAGCTCACGGCAGACGTCACCATCGCGCACGACGCAGCCATCCTGTCGGACAGCCGCTTCAGGGGCCACGCCGTCGTCGCCATCTCCATCGGCATCAAGCCCAGGACACTGGTTGACAAGCAGGCGATTTCGCTGGCCTTCTTCCGCGACCCGAACTATAACGAACACCTCGAGCAGCTCGCAGACGCCGCGCAGACCGCGAACGTCCCCATCGAATCTCGTTGGATTACGCGCATGATGAATATATATATATATATATATATATATATATATATGCTTATATATGTATACATAGTGGAAGCTGCCCGTCTCGTTCATTATGATTGGGTACGCTGCCCTGCCGGGGATTTCAAGAAGCCTGGCTATCTGGATGGCCGCGTGCTTGCGGCTCGTTCGATTACCGGAGCCATCTGGTGCCAAGATATTCACCTTGCGCGCACAGGGGGCCCAGTGCCTGGACATGACCGGTGGTGCCCTCGCTCGCCGGCGACGCGGAGTTCGCCGACGCCTCGGCTACCCCGCGCCGCGATTTCGAGGCCAGCAACGTTCTGTGGCACAGCAGGCGGCCCAACATCCCGCGGGGCAAGGCTCTCTACCCCGAGAAACTCTGCAAGGTCCTGAGGTCCTCTCAGTGATGGGCCCTCCTGTGGGCCCCTTGGAAGCGCCGTCTCGCTTCATCTTTGAACACATATCATTATTTTGAATATCCAAGAGGTCGAATGAGCGACCGTATTGCGTGCATTTCGTCTCGGTCACGTGGTCGTGTCCGAGGCCACATCAGTCAGAGGTCCCGAGGGCCCCTAAGAGACAGCCGTACAGAGGCGCTCCATGGTGGATGCCCCCCGCGACCCCGCGACTACGGCAGCTAGTCTTCGCCGCGCAGCAGGTCGACGAGCCCACGATTCTGCAGTGCATCGAGCAGCAGATGTCGATTGGGGAGACTTTCGACTTCGGCGCGCCCACAAGGCGCGGATCCGCGCCTTCTGCGCCGCGCGACACCGTCTGCTCCTGGCCCCGACTGCCTGTCCTACTCCGCGTGGATCGCGCGCGAGACCCCCATGGACATCTGTGATGACCTCGCGTTCCACCTGCGCGCTGGCCACTCCATCCCGCGAGACCTGAACGACTCTAACTTCGCCTTCGCGCGACAGGCTCGTCGGCGAGCTCACCGCAGATCGCGCCCCTGAAGATGCGCGCCCGCTGCCCCGCCAGAACGCCGACTCGCTGACGACAGCTGTGGCAGAGCGCACACATAGCGCAACAAGGGTTCGCGGTCGGCCCCAAATTCACCAATCGCATGGTGCGCCTCGACGCCGAAATGTGACGCGCTGATCTGGGCGGCATTGCGAAGGACTCCCACCCCGTGTTCATCAGTTGACTTTGCGGCTGCATTTCCCTCGTTGGATCGGGCGTGGTTGTTCGCGGCGCTGGAGCGCCGCTCAGCCTTGAACGCCTGCCAATTGGCTCGCCCCTGGGCGGGAATGCTTAGCTACGTGTCGTTTTTTTCCACTGCCGAAGGATATTCTGCATCGTAAGTATTGCATGTTCTACGATCTGCTGAGCTTTCTCCCGAACGCGCTTCACAAGGTAGATCTGATAGCGATGGCGGATTTGAGTCCACTAATTGCGCCCGGCTCGGCGCAAGTCAACGTTGCAGCTTCTGCAATCCGATCGGCTCCCCTCGCTCTGCGCGGAGACTGGGCGACACAAAAACGAACATGCTAAACATTCACGTTTTCCGGAGGGAATGGGACGATGTTTGCCTCTCGGGGGCTCTCCTGAAGGCCTCTTGGGGAGTCTTTGGGGCCTCTCGGGCCGTCTTGGGGGCCTCTTGGGCCGTCTTGAGGCCGTCTTGCGCTGACGTAGGGCTCTCCTGCGCCTCTCTGACCACTTCTCTGATCGCTTCGTGTTTGCTGGCAAGGCCCAGCAAGGCGCCCTGGGAGGCGCGGCAGGGATGAGGGGCCTCTTCCACGGGCGTCCAGGGGGTCCCTAAGCTCCAGATCCCGGGGGTATGTTTTTTTTGGGGGGGGGCATTGCTTCCCGCCCCCCCCGCGGCTTATGAAAATATAGGAGGAGGAATACTTGTGGAGCGAGGTCCAACCACGTGACATACCCTCATCCGCCTCCCTGTTTCCCTCCTCTGGTATGCCAGCTCACTAGAAGAGTAGGGGTCCTCCCGGGCCAGGGCTACCGCGAAGGCCGCACGGCCGGCGCCGCCGACCCTGACATGGCGACGACGACGTCGACGTCGACGCCGACGCCGACGCCGCCGCCGCCGCCGCCGCCGCCGCCGCCGCCGACGACGACGACGACGACGACGACGACGACGACGACGACGACGACGACGACGACGACCTCTCGGGCCAGGGCTGTTTTTGACAACCCTCTCTCCTCACATGCGTCGCCTCCCGTCCTCCGCCCCCTGCGCTGCGCCCCTCGATCGGCCCCCAGGGCCCCAGGCACGGGGCGGAGTCCGGCACCTCGTCGGAGATGGTCATGGTCCACGCGGAGCGGCGGGTGGGGCGCGACCTCTTGCACTGCAGGGGGAGGAGGAGGAGGAGGAGGAGGAGGAGGAGGAGGAGGAGGAGGAGGAGGAGGAGGAGGAGGAGGAGGAGGAGGAGGAGGAGGCGGAGGAGGAGGAGGAGGAGGAGGAGGAGGAGGAGCACGGGTGACTGAGCGTTTATATGTCAGGTAAGCGTAGGGTGACGACAGATCGGGGCCAGGGCCTCTGTGAGAGCTCCAGCAAGGAAAGGAGCGTCGTTCTGCGGAGCCCCCGGCGCGCAGTCGCCGAAGTGTCGGGAGGGGCGTCGAGGCCGCGCGTACCTCGAAGAAGACGCCAGCACGTGTTGAAGAGTTGCCCTGTCCAGAGGGCCAGAAAAGGCGCAGGCCTCGTTGCCGCGAGCGTGGACGCGCCGAGTGCGGGTGGCAAGATGATTCGGACATCCTGGCCGGGGTCCTCGCCGTGAGTGGCGGCGGTGACGGCCCTGCGACGACGCGCCAGGTGCCTCCGCAGGCGTTTCGATGCCAGAGGGTCTCGGCACCACAGGCTGAGGCCTGCCAGGTGTCGCGGGCCGCATCTTTCTCGGAGAGTTTTTGGTCACTCGGGGGCAGTCATGTGTGCGCTCCCCCTCGCCCCCTCGGAGGGGGAGCGCATTGCCCTCGTCGTCGCCGCCGTCTGCCTGTCCCCCCCGGCCTCACGCATCGCACAACACCGAATCCCCGACACCAGCCGAATCCATCGTCTCGCTGCTTCCCTCAGCAGCCTGCGAGCGCGCGGCCGCGGTTCCAGCGGGGGATGGACGGGGGGAGGGCGAAGTGGAGGATGGAGGACGGCCGTCGCCCCGCCAGGATGACAACGTGAACGACATGACGTTGAACTGGAAGGGCGGCGGCGCGGGGCGCAGGTCGCTTCGGGTGTTGCTAGAAGTGCCCCTGGCCCAAGGTGCCCCCAGGGCTTCCAAAGAGGCCCCCACGGCCTCCAGAGCACCCCTCGCGAGGCCCAGATTGCCCAAGAGGCTCCAACATTGAGCGAAAAGCTGGGGGCACCTTGGGCCATGGGCACCTTTAGTAACCCCCGACCCTGCGGGCAAAGGTCGTTGCGTGGCATCCGACCCCGAACCAAACTTGCCCGTCGGTTTCGGAGGTCGCCGCGGCAACCGCAGCAGCCACGCATGGGAGCAGAGTTTTTCGATGACCTGCCGCGCTCGAAAAGGCTTCAACACGGGCGTCCAAGAGGCTTGCATCCTCACCTCGGTGACGAGCGAGGGGGGGAAACGAGAAGGCGAAGGCCTTCTCAGAAGGCGGCGGGACTTCTTAGAAGCCCTCGCGCCTCCTGAGAAGCCTTCCGCGTCTCCGGGGAAGGCCGAGAGCACTGCTCCGAGAAGGCCAGGGTACGCACTCCCGAGCCCTCTGAGCAGGCCCGCCCCCCCCCCCTGGCTCGCCGCCGATGGCCGCGCATCCTCACTATTTGCGTCGTCGGGGGCCCGTTTGCAAACATAGTCGATTCCGACAAATCTCCCAAACATAGTTTTCACCACCACGCGAAAAATATCAGCAAAATGTGCAGAACAATATATGTGGTGTGCGCAGTCAGGACTGATAGGAAGTGACTATCGGTCTTGCCTGCAGGACCACCACCTGGGAGATCAGTTTTCGGGGACCTCCGCAGCGGTGGATATGGCTGTATCCGGTCCCCGGGGGGGGGGGGGGGGGGGGCAAAATATATCCATACCCACCGCCCGCTGGGGCACCAGGACCTCGGTTCCCAGGCGGTGGATATGGACAAATCCCCGCCTCGCACTACCAGTCTTGACTGCAGGGGCCAGTTAGCACGCAAACCCCACAGGGGCTCCATCAAGGAGAGGCACCCCGAGCTCGCCAGCCGGGCGCTTGCCAGGCCTGGACGGGGCGGGCCTCTCTGCCCGCCCTGCTCCCCCCTCCTCTTCCCCAGCCCTGTCCTCGGCCTTTGCCCCCCCCCCCTCCTCCCTCCCGTTGTGCCCTCTCCTCTCCTCCCTCCCCTGCTCTTCCCTCTCCTCTCCTCGTCCCTCTCCTCTTTCCCGTCCTCGCTCGTCCTTTCTTCCTTCCTGCCTCCCCTCTCCTCTCCTCCCCTCTCCCTTGTCACTCCTTTGTCCTCCTCCCCCCCCGTTTACCTCGATCTCGAGACTGCATCCGATCGGCACTCCGACATCCAGCCTCCGGCATCCGACTTCTCACACCACATCCACATCGACCACCAGTCGTCCAGGACGACTCCGGAGGGCTCCAGCCTCCCAGGCCGCCCTCCTAGGGCCAGTACCCGCCAGACCGATACCGCGCGCTTCTTCTGCTTCTTCATCTTCTTCGTTTCTGTCTTTTTCTTCTTCGTTTTTTATCATCATCATTATTATGACTCCTCTTTGTCTTGTTTTCCTTCCCCATCCCTCCTGTCGCAACTGCCTTGTCGATCTGTTGTTCAGGCCACGGTTCATGGCATGAGTTTGCCCACTGCAGGCCGGCCTGCGCGGTGTTCACGGTTTGCGTAGGCCTTTTCTCGCGGTGTGGTCGTGTCACCCGTAAGGTTTTGTGTGAAACAGCTTCTTCCCCATCCTGCTCCGTACGTTGCCATTTGGGCTCACGCCTGCGCCTCATCGGGCTGCTTCATGGCCTGCTCCGGAGACAGCCCGTCCTCGAGAGATCGACAGTGGAGCGAGTGGGAGATCCCGTGAGTGCAAGACCTTCACCTTCGCCAGCCGTCACTTTTCGCTGGCCCTTCTCTCCACAGACGTGTACATGCGCAAGTTCGGCAGTCGTTCAAGAGGCTTGGCCCGACTTCGCATGTTCGGCCCGCGTGCCCGCCGACCCCCGGAAGGTGGTGTAATTCTGGACGTTCTCCATACCCCCAGCAGCCCATTCAAAATTGGTGCCCGGGCGAACAGTCGGGAGAAGGGACGTATGTGTGCTTATAGTGAAGCACAGGCGTATAGTGAAGCACAAGCGCCCAGAACAATACTCAACATACAGACCTCTAGGAGCCTCTCGGGATCATATTAGTGGTCTCTTGGGGCTCGTTCGGGAGCTTGCTATGCCTTCTTTGGGTTTCTGGGGGCCCTCTTGAAGGCCGTGGGGGCCCTCCTGGAGCCGTGCCGAAGGCCATCGGTCCAACACGGGGGATCCTTGAATCAGGGCCCCCCGTTCGGACGTAGACTCGCTTCGTGCGCCCTCTGGGGGCGCTACTGGGGGCGCTCTGGGGGGTCCTGGGGGAAGTCTTGGAGAGCACAGTCGACCTCGCCACCGACACACAGACATCAGAGTCATCGTTGTCAGCAGCATCGACTCCGTCGGTGGCCTTGCCGTCGTCGTCGGCGCTATAATCGCCGCCACCATCCTTATTATCATCATCGCTGTCGCCGCGCCCTGTGCCCCTCTTGGAGCTCTTGTGGCAGCCTCTGGAGCCAGATCGAAGCCTCCGATCTCCAGGGGCAGCGAGAAGGCGCGACGCCCGGTTTTTTCGACAGCTCTTGGAGCTCTTGTGGCGGCCCCTGGAGCCAGATCGAAGCCTCCGGCTCCCGGGGGCAGCGAGACGGCGCGCAGGCAACCGTCCTCGAGCTCCCGCTCGGCTTTCTCGGCAGCTCCCGGCCCCCTCGGGCTCCGTCGCCACTGCCTGAGGCAGTCGTGGAGGGCTGCCTGGCCGCGCGAGAGCCTCTCTGGAGCCGTCCGGGGGGGCACCTTGGGCATCGCCGCCCACGACGACGACGACGAGCCCGCGCGCCTCGACGCCGACGCCGACGCCGACGCCGCCGCCGCCGCCGCTCGCGGCCTCGCGGCCTCGCCTTGGCTGCGTCCGACAGCGGACTCGGAGGCTCGGGGTTCGGGGGTTGCTAAAGGTGCCCCTGGCCCAAGGTACCCCCAGCTTTTCGCTCGATCTTGGAGCCCCTGGGGCCATCTGGGCCGCGCGAGGGGGTGCTCTGGAGGCCGTGGGGGCCTCCTTGGAAATCCCGGGGGCACCTTGGGCCAGGGGCACTTCTAGCAACACCCGAGGGGTGGACAAGAGACGCACCCGCCCGGGAGCTGGTCTTTCCCTCCCCCCCGCCCGCCCCCCCCCCCTCCTCAGCCGCCCCCCCCCGCTCTTCCTCCCTGCAGAGGGCGTGCGGGGCGTTCCAGAAGCAGCCTCGCGGTCGGGGATCGAAGGAGCTGGCACCTCTTCCTCGGCGGAGGGCGGCGGAGGGGCCGCGGAGCCCCGTGGAGGTAGAACGAGGCCGCCTCCGCTTGCGGAGGGCCGGCGGAAGCTGGCGGAAGTAAGCATCGGTTCCCCAAGAGGTGACAGCATTTTTGGGCTCATGGCTTCCGAGACGTCCGTGTGGGACGCCCGGGAAGGGGGAAGGGGGAAGGGGGGAAGGGAGAGGGGGGCAGCTGATCATCTCACGCGCGTTCTCATCCCTGGCAAGCGGGGGTCGGCGGATTTCCTCGCGCACGGAGGGGGATCATACAAGTTTATTTGCATTCGCCGATGGTGCGTGCACGTGGGATGACATTCAAGAAAGAAATTGGCGGTGGTGGTGAGTGGACAGTTCGGCGTCGGGCTGACGGTGGCATTGTTTCAGTCTTTGGCCAGTCATCTTTTCGTAGTTAGATCGAGCTCGCTCATCGAACTTCGTCGTTTTCAGCCAGTTTGACCCATCGAAGCTATATCGTACTGCCATGGCGCGCGAAGGGTGGCAGTCAGGTTCGTCGCAAACACCGTGGTGCCGCCCGAGGTTAGCGCCCAAGTTTTGCTCGAGATGACACGCGAGGCCGCAGCAGCGGATGTTGAGATCGCCTTTATGCATTCACCCGGGCAGAACAGCAATTACGCATTATTTCCGCGCCCGCGAGCCCATTGATTCTCTGCTGCCGCACGGTCCTTCTGCTCTGGTCGCCACCGCTCCTCCGACCTTATCCATTCTTCTCCTCCACATTCTCTCTCCTCCTCTTCCTGTTCCTCTTGCCCTTCCTCCTGTCGCTGTCTCTGCTGGCACTGGTGTCGAAAAGACGACGCTGCCATCTCCTCCTCCTGCCGCCTCTCCGAGCCCATCCGGCGCGGGGTCGCGCGGCAAGCGGACGGTCAGTTCAGCAGATGTTGTCTCGCCTGGTTCGCGCGAGGACCTGCAGGCCGCAAGGGGCAGCGCCGCGGGCGTGTGCTGGTCGTGCGGCGAACGGTGCACCCCGCGATTCTCTTCGCTCCGCCTCCTCCCCTCCTCTCTCCCGCCCTCCCTTCCTTCTGGGGCGCCGGTGCTCTGCACTCGGGTGCAGTGATGAGGCTGCTCTCGCTATGTGTGTCTTCGCCGCAGGCTCTGCCCCAGCAGCTGCGCGGCCTGTCGTCAAGAGGCCGCGAGGGCCGCCCGACCCGACGCACGGGGGCGAGCATCGGCAGCGCCCCGAAGCCGGTGTGGCGGTCGGGGCCGCGGGTGGCCCCCCGATTCTTCACTGCAGAGGTCCTTGTTAAAAAGTCCTTCCTCCACCTCAGCCTCCCTTCCTTTCCTCCTCCTCCTCCTCCTCCTCCTCCTCCTCCTCCTCCTCCCCCTCCTTTCCTCTCCTCCTCCTCCTCCTCCTCCTCCTCCTCCTCCTCTCTCTCAAACGCTTCCCCCCCCCCCCCCCGCCAAGCATCGCGGCACTGCTTTTGGAGCCGTCTATTGTCTACGCTGGTACCGGTAGCTGGTGAGTCTCAGTTCGGGGGGATCCTTGTCCGAGGCACTGCGCGCGCGTCCTTGATCATCAGACTGGCGCAGGCGGCAGCAGCAGCGCGCAAACAGTCCTTGGGGGCATGGGTTTTGCACGTCGTACGCGCATCCTACGGGACGCTGAGAGAGACATTATTCTGGTCACCGCTCGACGATGATTCCAGTGCTTGTATCGTATCGTGAGGGCACCAGGTCCGCCACCAGCAGCTGTGCACGAGCTCGCGCGGCGCTTACAGCAGCACGGTGCACTACCGTGACCTGGTGCGCAGCTTGAGCATGTGGATGCACACGTGAGTTCGCAGATCGAGAAGTGTTACAAGATGCCGATGTTTAATGAGTGAAGGTTCTCAGCCGTTTTCCTTACCGCAACGTTCGGTCATCCCTGGGCAGCCGTTGGCGGATGTGCTCTACGAGTTGCTCATGGCAGGCTGCATGAACCAAGTACGGCGCGAACTGGATGCCGAAGGGCTGACACAGCACTTACCAACTACTGAGCGCAACAGCGGGCACGGTAGGTTGGTGGATGCGGAATTGGACACGACCGTAACACTGCTGGACATAACATTTTCGAGCGTATCATCACGCTGATCATGCCAGTCATGTTACTATGTACCGCCATGTGCCGATCCCTAGTGGTAGTCACAGCTGTGTTCCTCGCTCGCGGTCACCTGCTGAACGTAAGCCCAACCAACACAGCGGCGATGATGCCCATGCGCGGGGCAGGAGGGAAGGCGGCCAGGGGGGGCATATGACACTAACGCAGTGGCATACTGAGCGGTATGACTACGCCTGGGAAGTAATGTGACGGCGCCTGCTGGTCGGAGTTACCTCCACCTAGGGTCAGTGATTGGGGTTCAAGGGTCGAATCCCCCCCGCCCCCGCGTTGCCGTTTTAAGGTTTTTGTTTTCTTGGTGACGGGGCGTTGTTTGCTTGCTTCGGGCGTCGGCGCGGTGCACCTGCTCTGCTCTTCCTCTGCGCCGCTTCCCCTCCCTTTCTCTCTCGTTCTCCCTCTCTCTCTCTCTCTCTTTCTCTCTTTCTCTCTCTCTCTCTCTCTCCGCCTCCGTGCGTCCCCCGCCGCCCCTCCCTCGGCAGCCGTTCCCGCCCGTCCACCTCCCTTCTCAAGGACAGCAACCGCTTCAAAGGCGTTTTCATGTCGTTCCGCAGTAGTAGTACACGTATACTTATTAGTAATATTACAAGTATTATCAGTATTTTGATTAAAATTATGATTGATCTTATTAGTAGTAGTATTAGTAGCAGTAGTAATAGTAGTAGTAGTAGTAGTAGTAGTAGTAGTAGTAGTAGTAGTAGTAGTAGTAGTAGTAGTAGTAGTAGTAGTAGTAGTAGTAGTAGTACTTCGTAGTAGTAGTAGTAGAAGTAGTAGCAGTAGTCGTTGTAGTAGAAGTAGTCGTAGTAGTCGTCGTCGTCGTCGTCGTCGTCGTAGTAGTAGTAGTAGCAGTAGTAGTAGTAGTAGTAGTAGTAGTAGTAGCACTAGGAGCAGTAGTAGTAGTAGTAGTAGTAGTAGTAGTAGTAGTAGTATTAGTAGTAGTGGTAGTGGTAGTACTAGTAGTAGTAGTTAGTAGTAGTAGTAAGTCGTAATAAGTAAGTCGTATAGTAGTAGTAGTAGTAGTCGTAGTAAGTAGTAAGAATTAGTAGTAGCTAGTAGTGGGTGGTAGTTAAAGTAGTATATAGTAGTGACATACGTAGTAGTAGTAGGAGTAGTAGTAGTAGTAGCTAGTAGTAGTAGTAGTAGTAGTAGTAGTAGTAGTAGTAGTAGTCACAGTAAGTATTGTAGTTTGATAGTATCGTAGTCGTAAGGTCGGTAATCGAGTCGTAGTCGTATCGCTAGTCGAAACAAACTAAAAAGTTTAAGTGTAAGTGATATAGTAGTATCTTACGTAAAGTATTAGCGTAGTAGCAATTAGTAGTAGAGTAATAGTACTAGTAGTAGTAAGTTGTAAGAAAGTTTGTAGTACGTAATAGTAGTTTAAAAGTATAGTAGTAGTAGCGTATAGTAGTTCGTATTAGTAGCGTAGTAGTAGTCGAAGTAGTCAGTACGTAGTAAAGTAGTAGTAAGAAAGTATTAGTAGTAAGTAGGTATTAGAAGTAGTAGTATCTGTAGTAGTAGTAGTAGTAGTAGTAGTAGTAGTATTAGTAGTAAGTGGGGGGGGTTAAAAAAAAAAAGTTTGGTAGTACTTAAGTATGTAGAAGTAGTAGTAAGTAGTACGTAGTAGTAGGTAAGTGGCGGTAGATTTTGGCAGTAGTAAGTGGAGTAGGAGTAAGTAGTAGTAGTAGTAGTAGTAGTCGTAGTAGTAGTAGTAGTAGTAATAGTAGTAGTGGTAGTAGTAGTAGTAGTAGTGATAGTAGTAGTGGTAGTAGTAGTCGTAGTAGTAGTACTGGTCGTAGTAATCGTAGTACTCGTAGTAGTTGTAGTAGTAGAAGTAGTAGTAGTAGTAGTCGTCGTAGTAGTAGTAGTGGTAGTAGTCGTAGTAGTAGTAGTAGTAGTAGTAGTAGTAGTAGTAGTAGTAGTAGCAGTGGGAGTTGTAGTCGTAGTTGTAGTCGTATTCGTAGTCGTAGCCGTAGAAGTAGTAGTAGTAGTAGTAGTAGTAGTAGTAGTAGTAGTAGTAGTAGTAGTCGTAGTAGTAGTAGCAGTAGTAGTAGTAGTAGTAGTAGTAGTACTAGTAACAGTAGTAGCAGTAGTAGTAGTAGTAGTAGTAGTAGTAGTAGTAGTAGTAGTAGTAGTAGTAGTAGTAGTAGTAGTAGTAAGTAGTAGTAAGTAGTAGTAAGTAGTAGTACGTAGTAGTACGTAGTAGTAAGTAGTAGTAGTAGTAGTAGTAGTAGTAGTAGTAATAGTAGTAGTAGCAGCAGCAGTAGTAGTATAAGTAGTAGTAGGAATGATTTCCGCATTCTCCCCCTCCCCCTCCTCCTCCTCCGGGGGGGGGATCGATGTTTTTGTTTTGTTTTTCAATTTCCCCCCCCTCCCCTCCGCCCCTCCATCCCCCCGCCGAGCACCTTCACCTGCAGTCAAGTCTGGACTGGGAAGGTTGCACACTGAAGGAAGACGACGGCCGCGCGACGAAAACAATGAAAAGAGAGAGAGAGAGAGAGGGAGACAGAGACAGAGACACATAACACCACAACAAGAGAAAGAGAGGAGAGGAAGGCAGGGAGGGAAGGGCGAAAGAGGGAGGGGAGCGCGAGAAGAAAGAGGGCGGATAATGGGATGGTGAGTTTCGCAGGGGGGGGGAGTCGATCCTGAAACCCAATAATTGATGCGAGTTGCACGATGATGCCAGAGTTTCGACACTGTGCCACCACTGTTACCGATACGCTACGAGTGTTGCGCACAAGAGTGTTCGCCCCCTCTGCCCTGGACGATGTCATGCGCATGGTGTTCGCAGATAGTCGGGTCATGCCAGGCAGGCTGTACCATGCAGGTGCGCGGGCAAGCTTCAAGACTGGCGAGTCCTGTTAAGTCGAAAGAGAAGTAGTGAACGTTTATAGGGCAGCCGCCCAGGTCAGGCTCACCGAATAATATTCATGTGCGACGCACGCACAGGTCTTAGCGATGCTACAGGGCGCAATCGCAGTACTTACTATGCGCGACACGGCTGCGATAGTGCTTGCACGCGGCTGCTATCATTGCTGCGCACGGATCCTAAGATAACGCTTGCAATTCTCAAGGACGAGTGGAATGCACGCGGAGCGAGCACGCACACATGGTTCGGCATGGTCCTCGGTGACGGCACGTGGCGACGTGCGAGAATGCCAAGATGTGATAACCATGGGAGGGGCTCACACGTAAGGACCAGAGCGTATGGAAACGGGTGATCGGACAAGCGTTGCGTACCACGGCACAAGCACACATGCGCAATACGATGGGCAAGGAAGTGGATCAGGCCTTTCTGCAGCAGCCCGACCGTGAGGCGTACCAGAGCGCGTGTACACAGACGCTCGTGGCCTGTTGGTAGACCTTCCGTCCCAGCCTACCGTACCATACCTAACGCGTCCATGGTGCAGCGTGTATTTCAAGAAGCGTGCATCCCTCAGAACCCACACTGCATGCAGACATCGACAGCAAGCTGTGCAAGCGAAGGCTTGGACGACGCCCAACGTACAGTGTCAGACATGCATGGTCACAGCTCACGACAGACAACACCTGGCTGACCAGCTGGCTGCCGGCTCCCCCCGCTGCTTGTCCATACTAGATCCAAGTATTGGGCTTCCGGCACTGGCGTCAACAATTCCAGGGGCATGTCCAGCATACCCAGTGTCCGACCCGATCTCTGCGCCCAACAGCAGAGTCAGGGCCCACGCAGTGGCCCATGGACGCCGTCAAGCAGTGTCCCCTACCATTTGATCAGAAGGGCCCGTGTTTGAGTATGCTTCGAATGTGGCAAGATCGATGTCTGGCGGGATATCCAGCGATACCGACGTCCTCCGTACTACTGCTACCGCCTGTAGCTGCCGTGCCAATCCAACCTCCCATGATATGATCGAGCACTCTGCAGAAAGGTATCCCAGCAGGCATTCCCGACCTGAAGATCTACAGGGACGGCCAGTCGGGAGGTGCCCAGAGGAGCCCGAAGGGTGGAGCATTTTGCTTCGAACCTTTACTCAGGCCGCAGGGGGGCACCAGACGGGCAGGCGCAGGTGGAGAGGACACATTGCCGCCCATATTGCTCACTAGCCACATCGTCTCTGGACATCGCGATACATGAGACGCTGGGGGATACTACGCGAGCCCAGCTGGGGCTATGGTGCACCCGGCAGCAGCGCGCCGCGCGTGCGAGGCCCCATGCGCGTTATCGCGCGCTCCGTGGTTCACCGAAAGGCCCCACCGGCAGGTTCTGCATGGCGTACCCGCGCCCGACTTGGCGCAAGGGGGTCCCCGCGACGCGCGCTGGTCGCCCCGAGAGGATTCCAGCGACGCGCGCGGGTCGGCCGCGGCGCGGGGCCAAGCAGTTGGGCAGTCGAGATAAGGCGGGGCTCGACGGGGCTGTTCTTCAGGTCCGGCCTCGCGGATAAAGCCGGCGAGGCCCAGCTCCTTGGCGAGGCCGTCGTCAAAGTAAGAAGATCCTCAGGTCGCCCATATGTCCGCTTGTCTCCCCGCCCACGCCCCAGTCCTCTTGCCAGACCCCTCCTCCCTTTCACCTGCTTTCCGATGCTCGCAGCTGCATGAGGTTGGGTCCTTCGCCAAGGTACTTTGCCTGACCCCTCTGGACAATCACCCGAAAGCAGCGGTGATCCCTTCGGCCCTTCCCAAAACGCACTGCCAGTCGGTTTGTTTCCGCCGTCGTCTCGTTCTCGCCGCGCTGGGGTGCTGGTAACTCTTCCACTCAGGTACCACGGACGACCGCTAGGGTCGGCTGCGCTTAAATGCAGCTTGTTCCCTTGATTGACCAGCTGATGCAGTCTGCCTGCTTTACCGCAATTTGAGCGCCCCAGCGCAATTGTCATTTCATCACTATTATGCGACCTGCGTGCCGACCTCAGCTGACAGGCCCACTGCTGAACCAGCGTCGAAATCCCAAATCCCAACCCCCAACCCATTCCTCCCCCCCCCCCCCTCCCCGCTTTTTTACCGCGCTCCTCGAGCTGGCTGTGAGCGTGCGCGGCTTCAGCTCCGCCGCCGAGGCCCCCGAGGCGCAGAGCCCGGCAACCGCACCCCCCCTCGGCGGCCAGGCTGGGGATGCTGAGCAGCGACAGCCAGCGCAGCCTCTCGGCGGACGCCTCCGCCGCGCACCCTGCGCCCCTCGGGGCGGCGAGGGCACCTGCGAGGGCACGTGCACGCGTGCTGGCCGCGCCCGGGGCCCATCCCTGGGCTCAGGATCGGTGCATGCATGCCTCCCTGGGCCGAGACAGGCAGGGCATGTGCCCCGGTCCTGGGCCCATGGACGAGCCCGGCCACCTTCGCTGCATGTCCACAGTGCTCGTCCTCGACTTGCCGAGCGCGCGCGCGCGTCGGAGGGGAGCGCGGCGAGCAACGGAATACGAGCCGTCTCGACCCAGCCGCCGTTGCACCTGCTCTTGGGCCTCTGGCAGCCCCTCATGGCCGCGGCAGGATGTGGCCCGAAGAACTGGCCACGATGGTACTTATGTGGAAGGGTTTCAGAGACAGCCTAATCATGAACGGATGGTGGCCAGAGGAACCTCTGGCCCGAGCCGACTTAGAGGAAGGCCACAATCCCGTCCCGGCTCCCCCACTGGCCACGGTTCTTCCTTTCCCCCCCAGTGCAACCAGTGAGTCTCCCACCAGGGTAGGTGCTGGAAGGTGGAAGGCTCAGGATCGCCGCCGTCGTTCTATCCCCAGCTAGGCTTGTCCAAGGGCTGGAGGGGTTCGTGAAAGAACAGGTAGGTGCGAAGCCCCAAGTCAGAGGCGGCGCTCGATGTTGCTCGGGTGCCTTGGTTTGGGTTCCGTGCACTGGCGGCGTTCGGCGTTGCTCGGTGTTCTTGGTCTTGGTTCCCCGCTGCCTTCCTCGGCGCTGCCAGGGGTTCTTGAGGTTCCCTGGGCGTTGCTCCTGGGCGTTGCTCCTGGACGTTGCTCGGGGTTCCTTGATGTTCCCCGGCCTCTGGCTTTGCCCAGGGCTTCTCGGAGTGCCTCCGAAAATGCTCGGGTTTCTCCGGGGGCGCCAACAAGCATTGCAAAGCAAGGACAAGCAATACCAACCAAAGTCAAGCATTGATTACAAGTGATGCCAAGCAACGCCAAGCAATGCAAAGCAGTGCAACGCCAATGCCAACCGATGCAAATCAATGCTTTGCTGCGCGTTGCTCAGAATCGCAGTATCTTGCTCCGGGAGAAACAGGACCCTCACTGGGCTCGCGCCGGGCTCATCTGCAGATTTAGTGTGGGCGTGTGAACAATCGATGCACATCTGTTCGGCTTGGGTGGAGGTGGAGGTGCCCCAAATTGTTGTCGCTAGACGTCGTGCATGCTTCGTATGCTGATGTCAGAAAGCACACGAGAGACATCTGGGGCCACGAAAGGCTCGTGCCGTGCCCGTGCGGCTGCGACCCCAGCGCGGGCGTTCAAGACTGAACGCCGCCAGTGTGGAACGATCCCACGAGCCTCGGCAAAAAAATGAACAGAAGACTTCTGAATTCGGTGATTGTGGGGTCAGCACTACTCCAATGCTGACGGAAGCCTGTTGACTCGGAGCGGTGTTGCTCCAAAACCGGCCCCACCCTCTCAGCATTGAAGAACGCGCTCTCTGACAAGTGCCCGAAAGCATCGTGCTCCAGGATTTCAACTTCCATTTCTGGATATTTTTGACGAGGCTTGTAGGGGAACAAACAATAAACATAACAACTCGTAGGTCCGCGCGGACTTCTCGGATCGGCGCTGGATCCCCCCCTGGCGCGCTCCGCGCGCCAGGGGCGGCGCCGGATGCGCCGCCAGGGGGGTCCGGCGCGGATCCGGGAAATCCGCGTGGACCTCCGAGTTTGTATGTTGATGTCAGTGTTCGTTCCCTTAAGAATCGGCCAATGTGGAACAATCTGGCGATCGAGGGGCCGCCGATCCTTCATGGTTGAACGATCCGCGCGGTGCCAGAAAAACCAACGCCGGGTCATCACGGCACGAACCTGCCGCGCGAGCCATCTTCTGCCCATTTCGCGTCCTCTTGCAGATCGCCTGGCGCCAGGTCAGAAAGTACCGACGCGGAGGAGGAGGAGGAGGAGGAGGAGGAGTAGAAGGAGGAGGAGGAGGAGAAGGAGGAGGAGGAGGAGAACGAGGACGAGGAGGAGGAGGAGGAGGAGGAGGAGGACGAGAGGAGAAGGAGGAGGAGGAGGAGGAGGAGGAGGAGGAGGAGGAGCAGGAGGAGGAGGAGGAGGAGGAGGAGGAGGAGGAGGAGGAGGAGGAGGCGGAGGCCAGTGCTCGGGCTCGCTCGGGCTCGGGCTCGGTGCGCCAGCGGGTTTTGGCCGAGAGCGTATGCCAGCACGGCAGGCCTGCGTCGTGCCCGGTCGCGGCGGCGGCACGATCGCGGGCGCTCTCCGAGTGGAACGCCGGCGGCGGCCCCGGAGCAGCCGGTATTTTCCGTAGCCAAAAACATGGGAGCCTTGCATGCCCTCGCAATTCCGTCTTTAGCGTCGGTGAGCGTCGATTCGCGTCTGGGAGTCGATGGGACAGCGCCGATGTAGCGTCGGCCAGCGTCGATTTAGCGTCGATTTAGTGTCTCGTTGTTTAGTCTCGATTCGCAAAAGCCGACACGATGGTATGGGAGGCTCCCATGAATTGCCACCGAAGGTATCGAGCGATCTGCGCCATCGGAACGCCGTCGATCGTTCCAGTCGAAGAAGAAAAAACGCCGTGAACATAAACTTTCGGCGCTCCGCGCGGATTTCTTGCATCCGCGCTGCCCCCCCCCGCGGCGGCGCCTCCGGCGTCGCCCCTGGCGCGCTCCGCGCGCCAGGGAGGGGAGTCCAGCGCAGATCTAAGAGAACCGCGCGGCCCTCCGACAGTGTACGTTTGTGTGGTTTCTGTGGTTCCTCTATCCAGGTTGGACCATCCACGCGATGACAGAAACCGAAGCCACGGTTGTCACGACACGAGCCTGCGGGCTGCAGCATCGCTGCCGCTTCGATTTCGGTTCTCGCTTCGGATGCCGCCCCGACTGCGCGTGCGTGCGGCCTACAGCGGGAGGGTCCTCAAGCCTTGGCGACATGCCCTTCAAGGCTCGTGGCCTCCTTCCTTTTCTCTCCTTCTCTCCCTCCTCCTTCTCCTCCTGCTCCTCCTCCTCCTCCTTCTCCTCCTCCTCCTCCTCCTCCCCTCTCCTTCTCCTTCCTCCCTTATCATTATCCTTTTCCTTCTCCTTCTCCTCCTCCTTCTCCCCCTTCTCCCTCCTCCTTCTCCTTCTCCTTTCCCTCCTTCTCCTCCCCCTTCTCCCTCCTGGCAGCACCAGCCATTTTAATCCTATTAGTTCTCTGGGAAGGAAGGCAGCCAGCCTGGTAGTAAATATCATCGAAGTCATCGGGGCCGGGCTCGCTGCACAGGACAAGCGCGCCGTGATCCGCACCTTCGCCCACCACCTGGTTGTTACTCACGGCGCCGGGGCTGCGGAACGGCTTGGTCGACAATGTCTGCGTGCACCGGCCGGCACGGATTCTCTCATCATTGTTGCGCGCGATCGCTTGCTCTGAGCGGTCCACCGCCCAGGCAGGGTTCTCCTTCGGTAGCAAATCATGGGAGCCTTGTGCATATACCCTCGTAATTCCGTTTTTAGCGTCGACCAGCGTCGATTAGCGTCTGGGAGTCGATGACACAGCGCCGATTTCGCGTCGGCTAGCGTCGATTAGCGTCGATTTAGCGTCGATTAGCGTCGATTTAGCGTCGATTCGCAAGAGCCGACAAGAGGGTGTGGGAGGCTCCTTCAAGAGTTGTTACCGAATTCTCCTCACCACAGCGCCGCGGGGTTATGACTTGTTGAGCTGGCGGGGCCCCCTTTTGGGCCCTCCTGGAGGCCTCTTCGGGACCTCGGCCCAGTTGCCTTCTCGGGGCCCTCTTGTGGCCCTTCTGCGGGCCCTCTTGACGTCGTCTTGGGGTCCTCTCTTGGCCCCCCGCCCGTCGCTTGGGCCATCTGCAGAGCCGCGGGGCCCTCGCGCAACCATGTTGGTCAGAGGCGGCTGAAGAAACCAGGCGCACGCGAGCGCAACGCGAGGTGTCCCAACCCTCTTGTGTATGGGCCCTCGTTTTGAATACGCAGCGCCGCGCGTCTCCTCCTCTGCTCTCCTCTCCCCCTTCCCCTCCTCCCTCCACTTCATCATAATCATCAGCATCAGCATCAGCATCAGCATCATCATCATCATCATCATCACCATCATCACCATCATCATCATCATCACCATCACCATCACCATCACCACCACCACCACCATCCTCATCATCAGCAGTAGCATCATCAGCAGCATCAGCATCATCATCAGCATCATCGTCATCATCATCACCATCATCGTCACCATCATCATCATCATCACCATCATCCTCCTCCTCCTCCTCAACATCATCAGCATCATTATCGCCGTCATCATCGTCACCATCATCATCATCATCAGCAGCAGCAGCAGCAGCTTCATCATCATCATCATCATCAGCATCATCATCATCATCATCAGCATCATCACCATTATCATCATTGTCATCGTCATCGTCATCGTCATCGTCATCACCATCAACATCATCATCACCACCACCACCATCATCATCATCATCATCATCATCACCACTGTCGTTATCATCATCATCAGCATCATCATCATCATCATCATCATCATCATCATCATCATCGTCATCGTCATCGTCATCGTCATCGTCATCATTATCAACAGCATCAGCATCATCATCAACATCATCATCATCAGCAGCATCATCATCCTCATCATCCTCATCCTCATCCTGCTCCTCCTCCTCCTCCTCCTCCTCCTCCTCCTCCTCATCATCATCATCATCATCATCATCATCATCATCATCATCATCATCATCTCGGCACCCTCACGCATGTCTCGTGACCCTATAGGGAGCTCCACCGAAGGTCCCAGTGGCTGCGTCCAAATGCTGCCCCGCCCCATTTCCAGCAGACCCGTCAGACGTTTCGTGGCCTCATAGGGAGTCTCACCGGAGGCCACAGTGGCTGCGCCCGCATGCGGCCCGTCCCATTTCGGCACATCCCTCACATATTCCGTTGCCCCATACGGAGCTCCAGCGAAAGCCACAGTAGCTGCGTCCGCATGCGGCCCGTCCCATTTCGGCAGACCCCTCATTCGGTTCGTGGCCCTACAGGGAGCTCCATCGATAGCTACTCTGGCTGCGTCCGCACGCGGCCCCGCATCATTTCGGCAGACCTCTACACATTACGTGGCCCCATTGGGTGCTCCAGTGAAGGCCACAGTGGCTGCGTCCGCATGCGGCCCGTCCCATTTCGGCAGACCCCTCACTCGGTTCGTGGCCCTACCGGGAGCTCCATCGATGGCTACTGTGGCTGCGTCCCCATGCGGCCCCGCATCATTTCGGCAGGCCTCTACACATTACGTGGCCCCATCGGGTGCTCCACCGAAGGCCACAGTGGCTACGTCCGCATGCTGCTCGGCTTCATTTGGGCACACCTCTCACACGTTTCGTGGACCCATGGGGAGTTCTACCGAAGGCCACGGTGGCTGCGCCTGCATGCGGCCCCGCCCCATTTTCGGTAGACTCCTCACACGCTTCCTGGCCCTATAGAGAGCTCACCGAAGGCTACATTGGCTGCGTCCGCATGCGGCCCCGCCACACTTCGGCGGACCCCTCACACATGTCGTGGACACATGGGAAGCTCCACCGATGCGCCCTGTGGCTGCGTCCGCATGCGGCCCGTCCCATTGCGGCAGACCCTCACACCTTTCGTGGCCCCAGAAGGAGCTGCCCCGAAGGCACCAATGGTTGCGCCTGCATGCGGCCCCGCCCCATTTCGGCAGACCTCTCAAACGCTTCGTGGACTCATAGGCAGCTCCACCGAAGGCCCCAGTGACTGCGTCCGCATGGCGTGAATCGGTCCTATGTATAGTCGCCACTCGTTTACAAGAAATTTGGTTTTTCACCAGGCACATTCCCAACCGTCCTGCGGTGTTGGGTCTTCGGTTTGAACTCGCAGCGCCCTGCGTCTCCTCTCCTCCTCCTCCTCCGACTCCGACTCCGACTCCGACTCCTCCTCCTCCTCTCCTTCCTCCCTCCTCCCATCCCTGTCTCTGCCCCCCTCCTCGCGCCCATAGCGGTACCCCACACGCCCACACGTTTCGATGCTCCATAGGGGGCCCCAACTAAGGTCCAATTGCCAGAGCGTGCCCGCACCCGAATCAGCACACCCCATCGCACGTTTCGTGGCCCCATAGGGGGCCCCAACCAAGGTCCAATTGCCAGCGCTCGCGTGGCGCACCCGATTCGGCACATCCATCACACGCTCCGTGGCCTTGTAGGCAGCCCCAACTAAGACCCAAATGCCAGCCTTCGCATGGCGTACCCGCATCCGAGTCGGCACACACCCCGCACGCTTTGTGGCCTTCGAGGCAGTCCCAACTAAGGCCCACATGCCAGCGTTCGCATGGCATGCCCGCGCCCGATTCCGCACACCCCTCACACCTTTGGTGGTCCCAGAGGGGGCTCCGAAGGTCCCAGCGGCTGCGCTCGAGTGTCGCACCCGCACCCGATTCGGCGCACACCCCACACGCTGCGTGGCCCCAGAGGGCTCCCCAACAGGGGGACCCCCTCCACGCCCCCCCCTGTCCACAGGTGGGGCCGCCCCCTGGGACCCGCCAGGACCCCCCCCCCTGAAACTCCCTCCTTCCCCCCCGGGCAGGGAAGTGGAAAAGTGAAGGGGATCGACTCGACTACGACGTTTCTTTGCTCTGCTCGTTCTTCAGTTTTCCTGGGACTGGCGACGACGACGAAGACGACGACAGCGTCTTGCACACGCCGAAGTGTCGGCGGATTCTGTCTTTTCCAAGTCGCGCTCCGCGGATTATATAAACATCACGGTGTCAAAGTTCCAAGGTGCACTGCCAGGGCTTCTCGTTGATGCTACGCAGTCGAGTGCCGTCGAGTGGGATTATCTCTTCAGTTTGCGAGTGCCTCGGTACTAGCACCCGCTGCGGTCTTGAATACGACACACGGTTGCCTGCCAAAGGAAGCTCTCTGTACAACAAAAAGGCTTTTCGATCATCGAGGGTCGAGGGCAACACTTGCAGCCAGTTTTTGCCTTCTCGCGGTTACGGCTGTTACCGGGGGGGATCGGGGGGGGAGGAGGGGAGGAGGCCTGCAACGTCACGATTCACGCCGGCCCTGTCTGGGAAGTGGCTGTCCCCTGCCGCTCCCGAACGGCACCGGCGCGAGTCGTGACGTTGCCACCGGGGGGGTGGGGGCGCCCCCAGGTAACGGGCGTCGTCGTGCATCGTTGAGGCGGTGCGCTTGCACCCATCAGAAACCTTAACAAAAAGAAGCATCAACGTTCATGGGCTCCAGACTGCGCTCAATAAAATCCAGAATCTGGACTGGGCCCTTGGCGTTTTCTGGAGCTTCTGTTCTTCGTAGAATGGTCGTGCTTGCGGACCTGGGCTGCTGGCCAGGAGAACGCTGCGAGTGAAGTCCATCTTCTTGGCCTGATTGTTTTTTAATTCTGAGCAGGTGTAGCCCCCCTCGCCCCTTGCGCATGCCCTCCCCAGGCAAGTTCTTCGACATCTTCATCGGCGTGGTCATCATCCGAGGGCCTCCGCCCGGCCGCCCCCCCTTTGGCTGGCCTCTCC